GTGTGTTTTCGGCTTGTCCAGATTTTAACACACCTTAAGGTGTGTTTTGTATAAAGGTGTGTTTTCGAACACACCATGGCGTGTTTTCGTACACACCATGGCGTGTTTTCATACACACCATGGCGTGTTTTCATACACACCATGGCGTGTTTTAAAACACACCTAAAGCCGTGCTGTATAACACACCATTGAGGTCTGTAATGTTTACAGCACGTTGTAAGGTGTGTTTCATAACACACTAAGGTGTGTTACATAACACACCTACAAACCTAAGGAGGTGTATTAGAAAACACATCTACATATTCTTATTAAAAGTAAAATGACATTAGAGACATGCTCATTTGCACAGAGTTTATCCATGACAAAATATTTATTTGACACTGACTAAATTACATTTTACATAGTTGACTATGTACTTTTACTATACTTTTACTAAACCTAACTGTAACAGACAACTTCTTATTCTGATGCAGTGTTCTGGCAATTAGAGTAATGGAGTACTATATTAATTGTCTCGTACTTTACAGCCATGCAATTGTCAAAATATTGCAAGCCCACATCTTCCACAATCAGAATACCTGTCATATGAAACACTGTAACTGATAACTTGCATCCAATCATTCCATCTTTGTATCATTTTCTTTATCGCTCGGTGAACCACAACCTTTGAATCACATAGCCAAGTTTAACCATATTTACAGGTAGTCGTATCAATCCAACATACAAGCCTGTGTCAAGATAAGTAAAAAATTAATATACAATGGGACAATCTAACAGCTTAAGTTTATGGGCAATTTCACGTTGCGGACATTACATTCACAGAAAAACAATTAATACAAAACATGCTCTGTTTCCTGTTTGCAACAGTTTCAGATCTGGGAACTTTGTCATAGAAAACCTTAAGGGGACCTCTTAAGATTTCATAAAAAAAAACAAAATTCCCTCGTAATCAATTCTTGTAATAAAAAGTCAAAGTACTGTTGCGGACATTACAGCAAAATCAACCACACATTGAAGTGATGTTTTTAAAACGTAATTTCCTGTGAACTTTGAAAGGTATCAAAGGAACTAAAACACTTCCTGCTCTCAGTGATAATTGGGGTTAAAAAATATGAAAACGAGATGTTCTACAATGCCCTTGCGCAGCTTTTATAGTGCAAAGTTTGTGTTGCGGACATTACACTGAAACTGTTGCGGACATTACATTTTTGGGATTGTATAGCAATCTGTATTAAAAATGATAGGAAAACAAAACTGGGCGACTGATTATGCACTTCAATGTTTCTAGTCCACATAACAGGCATTCTAGCTTAATTCTATTTACATTTGTATACCCATGGGCGTACCGGCCGGGGGGGGGGGTGGAGCAAACAAAGCCAGTCGGGCAATATTCGCTTCACACTTGGGCAATATTGGCTTATTATAAAAATAAATGAGACAAATTCTGTCAATTTTGTGGGGAATTCTGTCAATTGTGTGGGAAATATGCTATCTATCTAATAGGAATTCTACGTCGACAACAATTTTGGAAAGTTTCTCCGGAAATTTTTTTAACAACGCGGGCACAATCCGAAAAAGTCAGGCAAATTTCTTTCCTCCCCCTAATTTTTTCCTTCCTGTATGCCCATGTGTATACCACCATAAATCCTGGGATGAAATCATGGTCACATATATTACAGTATATAATCTTCTGTTGACAATAATATCTTTCAAAAGTGCAATATTTGTTGCGCATAGACTCAGGCAATGACTCGGGTTGTGCAGCAAATAAAGTGTCATGTTTGTAGACCATTCTATTTGACAGTTTTGCATTTACTACATTTGGTGGGGATAATTAACACCCCTGGGTTTAGTGGAAGATGATCAAAACAAACACGAATTAAAACATGATTTTGCTCTTAACAACATATGCCTTACAAAACTGATGGTACAATGGCAGTATACGGTAGTGGCATTATATGTAACTTGGAAACTTTCCATGATGAATTGTGTCACTGTGATTGTGTATACAGCACGGAGTGATTATAGTTAAAAGTAAGGGTCCCATAGTCCTTTTAATGTTCTATTTTTAAGTCATCAAGCTTAAGATAACTATAGAATTCAAGCAAGACAATTATATATAAGCATCTAATTCTCCAATTTCAAAAATGTAATGTCTGCAACGTAATGTCCGCAACACATTATTCAAGACATGTTAATACTTTTTATTGTCTTTTTCCAGTCTAAAATAATGTTAATACCATTTTAAAAAAGCAGCACAAATATAATGTCAAAAGAGCTAGACGTTTGGCTGAAAAATAAATTGAATTGTTTTTTTGTTGCGGACATTACATTTCTCTTACCCAAACTTCGATGCACCATAAATCACAGCAACACTGGATATTGTCTGATCTAACATTGTCATCATGATATGTGAACCTTAGACTGTGTTTGTTAAGAAATATAAGTATTTCAAAGTTAAAGTGACTGAGTTATAATTATTTTAAATAAACACACTTTATCCACAGAACAATAGCAACAAACAAGTGCAGATTCGACGGTTTGCCGCAGAGTGGGCATGGGCCAAAATTCAAAAATCGTTTTGATTTATGATAATCCAATGTGTTAACTATGGAAACATGTAGTTAGCACCACATAATGTTGCATTTTGCAATTTTGCCATTTTCAATGTCTCATGTGAAATTGACCTTATATATAACATATGTAATTAAGTCATTTAACCCACTAGCACGCAGGACTCTCTTCTTGATGACTAAAATTGTCCGGCATTTGACAGAGTAAAATAACAAAGGCGGGTCAATTTGGGTGCATTTCGGCCTAATGGGTTATCAAGGCACATTGGCAGATAATTTGGATAACCATTAGTGAGCAGGACACTGCTCTTGAGGAGTAAAATTGTCTGGCATTTCACAAAGTAAAATGTCTGGTGTTAGTTAAGTGCAACATAACAAAGTAGGGTGCACTTGGGCACATTGCTGCTCAAAGGGTTATCAATATACAGTCATTTAACAAGTTAATTTGTTTGGCATTTCAAGACATAGGATGCAATGGACTGATACTGTATCTGGCCGGATATTAAGATTTTAATTCATTATCTGGTATCCGGCTACCCAATGCCGGATATTATTCATATAGGGTTCAGGCCTTCTTTTCAGGTTAGAAAATGATTTGATAAGGTTATCATATCATGATCATTGAAGTAAAAATATGATAAATATGATCAGTATTTTCAATGCTTGTTTGTACAGTAAATGGGGATTTGAACTTTTAACTGATGTAAACAGGCTTTTGTTACCAATGATGCATGTTTGCTACCAACGATGCAGGTTTGCTACCAATGATGCAGGTTTACTAGTTTTAGACTGTTTACTTTTTAACCAAATAAAATTATTACCAGTACTTAACCTTAAATGATGCCTGAACCTTATATAATTATTTGAATAATACCCTTAATCGGGCTGGATATTTTTCAGCCATCCAGCATATCCTGTATCTGGCTGGATAGCAGAAATACTCTGTCCTGCACAGAAAGAACCGAAAGTAGGCAACATTTAAGAGGAAATTGTTTCTTCGGTGTTAATAGGTGAAATGAGTCCATGCAGTCGATAAGTAAAATTGTCTAGCATGAGACGTCACAGTTCAATATTAAAGGACTTAAAGTAGGGAGTGTTAGGGAAAATTGCATCTAAATATGTCAACATGAAACATGGGCAAAATCTAGCTACACACAAATTAACTTGTCCAGCATTAGGAAAGGTGACATAATTTAAGAAAGTGCTGAAAACTGGGTTAATTGGAGTGAATTGGGTTGTTACATATATTACTAAGCAGATCATGTGGGTGGTGTAGCTAGCTAAATGTATTCATGAGTTTGAACAAACAAACAAACAAACAAACTAAGGACTTTAACTGTTTCCAATTAGGGAGATGTCCATATTCAAGTTGCCACACAAAACATCAAATTGACATTTTTATCTAAGCCGATCTATCCATCCTTGAAAACTTCAAGCATGACATACAAAGAAACTTGGAATTTAACCCCCCCCTACCCCATTCCATTGATGTCTTAATTAGTACATCTTACTATTATCAGTCTCAGAAGATTCTACTCTTAGACTCCCTCCCCCTCTGGATGACTAAAATGTCCTTTGCATCTAAAAGGGTTACAGTAAATATGAAATGTGACCCTCTGATGTTAGACATACTAAAATCATGAAGTACTGAAAGCAGTCTGGCTTTTATCTTAATGTGTTAACACAAAATGTGGGCAGACAATCTAGTTTCAATGAAAGGTTAAAACCTTTTAAGTCCAACACACTCCCCATTGACAAACAAAATCACCATGCAGGGGTTGATTGTTCGAAAGCCGATAAGTTAACCTTAGATTAAGCAAACTTCCTAACAGTTTGTTTATAAATTTGGAAATATTTCTTTAGACATCTTGTCTGGATCAGTACCATTGATAGGAGTTTTCTTTTCATAATTTTAAAACAAAAAGATACTGTATGTAGAAATACATAAATTTTAACTACGGGTTAGGGTTAATCCAGCTATGCAGGCCTTAAAATATCGGTCGGTCATGGACATTGTCCGACCAAAGTGAAATTGAGGTTTATTGTTTGTCCGACCTGAGTGTATTGGTGTCCGACAGAACTGTAGCTTTGTCCAACGTAAATCAAAATGTACCCTATCCCAGGACTAGAGGCTCGTATGTTAAATGGAAAATCAGAGTACTATAGACCTTATTCATAAATCGTGATGAGGCCTCTATCCTAGGAAACGGGGAAAACGCGGGAAAGCTCTGCAGCTTAATGGGTTAAATTAGGGTATGTAAGTGCTAATGGTAACTGAGACATGCACACACAGTCTGTTAATCCATCACAACATCACATCTTAATGGGTTCATGGAATACCGTAAATCTCGGACTATAAACCCTGGGCTATATATTTGGTGGGCTTATACAAAGGGGGGGGGGTTACAGTATATAGGAGGGATAGAGCTTATACATGGACATTCAATCTTTTGTGTTAGTATAATAAACAAGTCAGTCATAAACAGGAAAATAAACACATAGTAATAATGCACTTTGATTAATTAACGACGTTTTGTTGTTGACTTAAGCTATAAAGACAATGTTTTTAAATATTGTTCTCTGATATATTAACCCATTGAGCCACAACGCGCCCCAGTGCGCTCTACTTTTTTTTCACTTGTCTAACGCCAAACGATTTTGCTCGTCAATGGGGAAACTCTGCAGCTTAATGGGTTGACCAAAAAATTTGACAATGTCTCTGGTAAACCCATCAAGCCACAATGCGCCCCAGTGTGCCTTACCTATTTTTTTACTTGTCTTATGCCAGACAATTTTACTTGTTAATGGGGAAGCTCCACAGCTTAATTAAAAGACAAAGGGGGGGGGGGATGAGTTGTATAGGTTTTCATTGACTGGTGCATAACACCTCTAACAGTGAAATAGATTTTTTCATTGATTGAAGAATTTGGACATAAAAAACCTAGATATATAAAAATTAGAAACTTATGAAAGTAGCAGTTGATTTGAAACAAGTGGTTACATTTTCTCAAACCATGTTTAGCTGGGACATGTGTAGTTGAGCATATGATGATTGAGTAGATGCCAAGCTATATTATTTTATACTTTATACCAGAAACATTGTTATCTGGTAGTCTGTCATATATTCATATACACAAATATTAGTTGCCCTTTATACAATAAACATAATTTAATATAAAGTCAAATGTAAGCCTTCTATAAAACTAATATATCATCTTTTTAATTCAAATATTGTCGCGGCAAATTCAAATTTTAAACATGAACAAATGCTCAAAATTCATGAATGAAGATAGCGAATATTTACTTTCAAAACTGCTCCATTATACATATAACATAACAATATGCTTACCTGAATGTTATTCAGTCATGCTCGCTGTTACCTCTTCGTTCAAATCATTCGTCGTCATTTTTCGAACCATAAATTCAGAATGAAGGCTTGAAAAATATGGCGTAATGGCGGTGTGAATAAATGACGCTATCCCGGGAAGCTTTGCGCGCGTAGTACGAAAACTAGGCACCAGTCTGTAAAATCGCGCTCATCGTGAGAATTTTCGTTTCTTTCGATCCGAAGAGCTTCAAAAGGCCAGTTACCGGCTATATTTCAGATATTAATGGTGTGCTAAAGACAGATTAATCTCTTAGAAAATAAATAGTCCCAGTAATGCTCTTACTACATGATGCGAAAGAATAAAATACTACACAACAAATATCAAACGGTTATTAGACACGTAAAACTTGATATCGCCGGCAAAGTCGATATCGCCATTTACATCTACTGTATATATCCGAAAAACATATTATAGCATACATTACCGTGATTGATGATTGGATTTATTGTATGTTACTAAAAAGCATTTTTCAGTACACACCGTGCACGCGTGTTTTCCAAAATCGGCGTAGGGTGTGTTATCTAACACACCAAGATGTGTTTTTGCAAATTAGTATGAGGTGTGTTCCCGAACACACCAAGGTGTGTTTTCATTCAAAAGGTGTGTTATTGAACACAACTTATATGCATCAAAGGTGTGTACGAAAAGGTGTCTAAAATACAGGTGTGTTTCTTAGCACACCTAGGTGTGTTTTGTTACACACCATGGTGTGTTTTCTAACACATCATGGTGTGTTTTCTAACACACAAAGGTGTGTTTTCTAAAATTGTATAGGAAGGTGTGTAAAATATACACACCTTGGTGTGTAATTAAACACACCTTGGTGTGTAATTAAACACACCTTGGTGTGTAATTGAACACACCTGTTTTTAGAGTGTGGTGTCAGGCTTTTATTGGTATGGCTTTTTTTGTGCTTGCAAGATTATAAGTGAAGAATCTTACAGAATTCGATAAGCGAGTTTTGATTTCAGAGTCAAGCTTACAGGATGTGTCATCTCATCGGCTTGCCTTCTTGAAATTTAAAGACAGTCCTTAATGTGGGTTTCTTAGAAGCAGTTCGCTTCCTGGAAGATAAAATGTTCAATTCGCTTGTAACGATTGCCGTGCTTCAGTGTGGTTTCAGTGAACATTGGATCTAGTCTTTATCGGGATTTTACACTTCATTTTACACTCCAAAATTGTCAAGCATATAGACTCGAGATAGGATAGGCTTTAACGTGGTTGTCCGGAACGTCTTTCACCTAATTGCAAGAAGCTAAATACCCGAACTAGCTTCTAATGATAGCTGTGTTTGTTGTTGTGACATGTCTTCCCAGAGAATTTATAGCCGCTGCGGTTCCGTTTACATTATAGAGCAAAAGATTCCGGATTCGTAAAACTAGGCAGATTCCTTGTTTTTTAGTGTACGGATTCACGAGGCGTTTACACTACACAACTTGACACAACGATTGGCAACGACGCAAAATTTTGACGCATAATTTTGTCATGTTAAGACCATGTTTGGATGTTGAAACTAATAGCAATAAATTTGAAAACGTACGAGGAAGCAAATTCATTCTAATTCTTTTTAGTTAGATTAAAGCGTTTAAACGAAAGGTTGCTTTCGGATCGACACTTTCTCGGATCCCACAAATAACCCACAAAACTTTTCCGGATCCAAAGTTTCGGATTTATACGCTATTTCTGAAATTTTGTAACGGATTCACGCTTTTTAGTGTAAACGGCAAGACGAATCCGATATCAAAACATCCTGGATTTGTGACGAATCCGAAATCTTTTGCCCTGTAAACGGGGACTGAGTATGACAATAGGTAAATAATTAAATTATTTACCCATTATTTACCCAAACAGAGTTTTGTAAAATTAAAGATTTTGTAATCTTGTAAAAAAACCCTAAAATATTCAAATACTGAGATCTAGCGAAGTGGATTTGCTGCGTGTATCCGAATATCTGGCGAAAAATTATACGTTTCCCTTAAAAAATGTGATCTCGGCGCCAAATGCCTCATGAGCTATATGACAATTTTATCTTAGTTCATATTTGTGCGGATATGTATTGTTCTCAATAAGGTTTTATTTGGGTAAGAATCTAAAAGCAAGGGGAGGGATTTGATATCTCCACTGGGAAAAGCGGGGTTGATGAATAGAATTGAATGCCTAATTAAAAATGCAAGGTATCTAACTCCATAGTGACCCCTTTTAGAGGTCAACTATGGAGTTAGATACCTTGAATTTATAACGAAACTCAAACCCCAACATCTCCTTTTCGACTAGAAAACGCTGCACGTCTCTGAGTCGAGAAAGAGACAACAGCCGTGTACCTCAGAGCCCGTCAAACTCTACCTTTGGGTAGAATATTTATCATTCGGTGCACGAGGACTAGCTGAACCAAACGTCAAACTTGCTTGTGCAAGGAATTTATACAGTAATATCTGCTCTTTCGCTTGTGGGACGCGAAATGATATACTACGCATGCTCAAACACATTAAAGCGTTTTAATGCGCATGTTCAACTTTATTTCGTCCCACAACCTCCCGAGGACAATAGAAAATGATTGGACTTTCATTGAAATTCAAGCCTAGGCGCTGCGCGCCTCGGTCTTGAATTTCAATGAAAGACCTCCCATTCGGTTTTTATCCTACGTATAAAACCCTGTTGAGAACAACTTGAGAATCTCTGCTTCGACAAACCCATACAAATCGTCGTTAGCGCTTTTAGGTTGTATGAGCTATTTCAAACATATTTCATCGTAATTGTGGTTGTTGAACGAATATTTCATCACTTCTCATTGATAGTATACAGTAGTGCGACAAGGGAATTGATGCATATCAAAAAAGCCCTGATTGTTTTTATTACAACCATGGTAATTCAAACTCATTTAAAGAACAATACATATCATAAGTAAATTTCATTGTCGGTCAATCCTTACAAATATGAACTAAGTTAGTTAGATACCTGAAACATCGGCTCTTAGTCAGATAAATCCCTCGGGGCCTACGGCCCCTCGGGTTTGTATCTGACTAAGAGCCTCCGTTTTCGGTATCTCTTACATAGCATGGAAGAACTGGTCTTAAATAATAAAATACTTGGCTACTTTTCACGTGACCGGATATTGGGTTTACATTTTAGGGTTTCAAGTTAAATGTGAGTCAAAGGCTCAAAGCAGTGAACGTACTGATAACAGAAGGAAGCAGTGAGAGCTGGATTTTCTTAATTACGAGAACTTTCAGCACAAGGTTTGTATCTTATATTTATTATTACTCTACACATAATATAGCTTCTGACATTTTTGATGATATAAAGTCGGATCTCTTCGTTCATATTAATTAACCTTAGTGCTGAGGTTTGTGTCGGTGTAATACGGTAAGACTTCACTTTATTTCTGCCGTAAAGTTATATTTTTCTGTTATTTGTTCTGACTGTTTGTTTGTGGATGAAATTTGATTTGCAACGAATTTTGCAGTATTGTCTTCCATACAGTAATTGCAAGCAGGCGTTTTCCTCGACATATGATTTGCTAGAATTTTAGTTCCAAGAACTGCAGTACACATAAAGTTCGATATTACTGTAGATTATATTTATAGGCTAAAACGACGACAATTTGCTAAGGTGATTCTATCTATACAAATTCTAAGCGACATCAACTTTGGATACAATATGCAATTAAATTGAGATCTTAGAACTTTAAAGTAGCGGGGAAATATTAGCAGACAGATATAAAATAATTAATTATAATAAAGATTGAAGAGTGGATGTAGTTTGTAATTTTCTATACCAACTTCCGTGTAATCTCAATAGACGGTAAAAAGTCTGTAAACTGCACAGGCTGCAATTCGCTCTC